CTCAAGCTATATATTGTATTGGTACACTTACTGAAAGAATAAATAACAATTACATTTTCAAACCTATTTTCTATATATTAAACATATGAGGTCGAGCCATAACGAGTCAAACTCCCGTCTTAACGAGCTGAACTATATAAACAATCACACAAAAATCCTTATTTTTGAGTTGAGATCAAACTTTAATCAGACGAATTAAGCCGTGCCCAACTCAAGGACGACTCATTTCGTTTAATAGCTCTAGTCAATTAAAAATATTGCTCAACTTCGATTTTTCAGTTGCCCAAAATTGCATAACTGCAATCAATTAGAAAAAAAAAAAATAAATAAAAAAATTGCATATTCATCCCCTCTACCAACTTAAGAAATATTTATTAAATGGGTGTAGAGCCAACAAAGATTCCATGGATAAAGGGTACTTCATGTTGGGGGACTATCATGATCTGACTCCCAAAGTTGGGGGACTCAATTGCAAATTTAACCGCAAAACAGACTTTGCTTACAAGGCAAAGCCACTCTCTTGCGTAATCCAAACCTCAGCCTTTCCTTATTTAACTCAGTTAACTGAGTCAAGCAACTCAGAGAACAGAACACTCTTCCCCTGTTCTTCAGCTACACAAAAATCACAAAAACAAGAAACACACACACACACTCAACACACTCTTCCTCTGATTTCATCTAACAAATATCACAAAAACAAGAAAATAATAATAATAATAAAACACGCACACAATGAGAAATCGAATTCTTCTGACGAACCTCCCGACCAACGTCATAGCCCACATCCTCGCTCGCCTTCCTGCCAAAACCATCGCCGCCTGCAAGTCCGTCTGCAAGCCGTGGCTCGACCTAATCGCCAGCCCTTACTTCATCTCCCTCCATTTTTCCCTCTCGAGGCCCGCCTTAATCGTCCACCACTACGAAATGTTCGGAAGCCGATTCAAGCTCCTCGATTTCCACCATTCCCATGGCCTCTGGCAAAAAACCACCGCGAAGCTCGACTTCTCTGGCCTAAGCCCTCTTCCCGACGCCAACATTGTGATTGACGGCTCGGTAAACGGCTTCCTCTTGCTCCGCGACATAAACTACAAGCACGAGGCACTCTACGTTTGCAACCCGTTAACGCGCGAGTTTTTCGGGCTTCCCAGGCCCGCCGGGCCCCTCCGGTACCCAATGGCGGTCACCCATGGATTCGGAGTTTCTATACTAACCGGAAAGTATAAGGTCGTTCGTATAATGCACGATCGCGAGCTTAACCCGGAGGACGGGACCTGCGTGCGGGTCCCGTCCTCCAGTTGCCAAGTCTACAAATTCCAGGCTCGGGCCTGGAAAACTGTTTCCGGGCCTCCGGCCCGATTCGTGTACGACAGCCGGCTCGTCGGGATTTTTCTCCGAGGAAACATTCACTGGTTGGTTCATGACCTCGAGGGTTTCGAGCTGATCTCGAGCTTTGACCTCGAGAGCGAGTGCTTCGTGAGTTTCCCGGGCCCGTTTCCGGGCTGCCGGAGGATTTTGGGGAGCTTGGAAGTGTTGAGGGGATGTTTGGCTTTGTGCGATAATACTGATTGTGAGAATATCAATATTTGGGTGATGAGGGAGTACGGAGTTGAGAAGTCGTGGTCGAAGGAGATCGTGATTAATAAGATGCAAGACCTCGCGGGCCTCTCGTTTCGATTAGTTTTCGCGCTCAAGATGTTTGACGACGGGAGCGTGTTGATCGTGTGGGGCGACTTTTTCATGCTATGTTATTGCGGGAGGAGCAAGTCGGTCGAGGGGGTTGACTTGGATCGGCCGAGAGGGCCGAACCATATCGAGGCCATTCATCATGTCCCGTGCTTCTTGAGCCTCAAGAGCTTCGTGCCGGAGAATGTGCGCGTGTATTAGGGGTAAATCGGGATGCGCGTGACTTAGACACGTGGTTAAAAAGATGGAAAACACAGTGTTGTGCTCGTTTTAGTTTATTTGAAATTTCGCGTGAAGTGTGCCTTTTGCTTGAAGGCTTGGTGAATAGTTTGTTGTATTTAAGATGATTGGTGTGTATTAGATGTAATCTCTAGTAATCATTTCCTTGTATTCAAATCAATTTATGATATCAGTAAGTTTGACTTACTAGATTTTATCGATGAGATCATATGTACAATCATACACACATTCGCCGGGTGTGAGTTAATCCAACGGTTAAAAATCCCTACGAAGAATGCTCATAAGATATTAGGATGAAACTCAATGTAGATCTTTATGAGATTTAGGGTCAAAATGAGTATTCAAAAGAAAAAAAAAAAAAATTGAAAAGAGAATGGCTTTATTAAATTGATTGAATCTTTTGCTTATTTGGACTGTATGTCCTCAAAGGGCGAATTGCAAAATTCTTTTTATTAAAGTTGTGGCAAAAGTTTGTTTTGTGCTACCAAAGTACAAAACGTATGTGGATCGAACATTATGGGATTGGAATAAGCTTCGAACTTAAGCAACTTCGCGAATTTGTTCGTTCTTTTTGTTTCTTTACGTAGTCATCCATTATTTTTTCCAACCGAAAATTCTAATGAGCTGTTAGTTGGACTTGGGCTTCTTCGTTTGCGGACACATCCTGTCCGACTCGTGAAAGATCGAGCTAAAATCGAGCTCGATCTGTATGTTTACTTAAACAAGTTTAGCTCGAACAACTAATAGAATTTGTTTATTGGACGAGTTGCCAAACATTTTTGCGAACATATCGGTTAAGGTTTAGAGTAATTAAACGAGTCGAAGCAAGTTGAGCCGAATTTGCTTATTGGTTAAACAAATACAAGCTCGAATGTCGAGTACTGAGCTGGAAAAACACTTGTACTTCTTTATGTGTACAGAAAGGTGGTCATATTTATCACACAAATGAAATAATTAATAAAAATTAAAAAGGGAACAACTGAATCATCATACAGTTGGCTAACAGTAACCTGATAAAGATTGTGTTTCTGAAAAATTGGCCATTTTCTGTTGGGGGACATAAAATTAATCAACAGTTTGAAAGAAAATGACGCCTGACCAAAAATACCTTAGAGAAAGCTACAAGTAAACAATAATCCTGTGCTAATATCCGAACTTAACTTAACCAAACCAAACCAAACCGAAATAAATCATTACATTGTATTACAATATACTTGTGTCGATGATACCATACCGAATAAAATTACAATCATTCAGTATTACTGAAAAAATGATAAATTCATCTTGTTTCAATGGCAAGAATGGAGTCACAGAACAAGTTACTTCTCATAACCATAAGCAGTAAAAAGTGATGAAACCAACGAACAAGTTACGGACATGATTTTCGTTTGTTGAGTTACTCATGAAAAAGGATGATGGAATACTGTTAATAGCTGAATTTACTTTCCTCTGCTTAAATCCCAGCATTATTTACGGAGAAATCAGACTTTGGAGTGTGTAATCCACGGGCATTTTGTATCAGCAACCCGAGCATTTAGTTCTTTGGAAAAAACTTGTCGTGCCTTTTGTACACATTTTCTTCATTACTTCTTCAACATTTTGTCCTATAGTCACTGCTTTCAAAATTTTCACCTTTCGCTTTGAATCAACTCTTTTACCCGAAATTTCACCATCAAACCCCTCCTATGATTACCATATCCTCATTCGCTCTTCCATCACTCTTGTTTTCAAAATTTTCACCACTCTCGAATTTTCATCTTCCACACGCAATTTTTGCCTTCAAGTACCCTGTAGGATGTAATCCCCTTCCTCATTCACTCTTCCCTTAATCCTCATCACATTTCTTGTGTAATCTTGATTTCAAAAAAAAAAAAAATAAATAAAAAAAAAAAATAAAAAAAAAAACACCATTCGTTATGAATTTCCTTCTTCTAACTGCATTTTTCACCTCCAAAACCCAAGTAATTACCGCCCTCATATGTTCTTCCACCAGCTCTCAAACATTTCATCTTGAATTCTTTACCCCCAAAAATTTCAACTTTCTGATTTAACTCTCTCTTTTACTCGCATCCTTACCCTCAAAACCCTTGTAATTAATTACCTTTCTCCACTGTTCTCCCATTAATCTCCTCAACACATTTCTTCTAAAATCCTTCTCTCCAAAAATCTATGCATGCAAAAATCCACCCTCAAATGTGTTATCCTAATCATCTTCCTCGTCTTCAACGCACGACAATCATTTCAGCATTATCTTCTCCATTACCACCCGATTCCTTTCCTTCACTACCCTTCTTACCTTAGTCATTCTTTACTTCAATCTTTTCGATTTATCATCATCCTTAATCACATTCCATATCCATCAATGTGTACTCTCTCTAACAAAGAACGCCTCTTATATCCATCCTTCAAAAACATCAAAACGAGTCTCGATTTTGCTACGCACGTTGAGAAACCCGAGTGCTGCAAAATTGCCAGCTTGAATCTCGACCTCAACCCTAGACACTCCCCCAGACAAAGCAATTCATGAAAACTGAAACAGCCCATTTATCCTACTCGTTCGTCTCCGCAGCTAAATACATTGCATTTTTTCGTAAGGCGAAACGTAAGGCAACTTTTCCAACTCAATCCGACCCATTTCTTGTACTTCTTCTCCATCTCAAATCCTGCAGTAAAAATTGGGTTTTCCCAAACTCCTCAGTCCAGAAATATACCGTAAAATTCGATGGACCATTATCATTTTTACAGTCCTGAGTCAAACCCAGCTCCCATTTCAACCTCTACACCAAAAAGATCGACGTTTTTTACCTGTTCTGCCAATCATCAACAGATTCAAGAGCCACACGTAATTTCGTGCTCCTCGTAAGCCACCCGCTGGTAGAGCAGAATTTCTTATGAGCTTAAGGAGATGATTTCAGGGGTGACCTTGACGTGGGGTATGGAAAATCGAGGGATACGTGTTTTCGGATGAACTCAATTGGGCGAAAAAAGGGATTCTAGGGTTTTATCTTTAACAATCGATTAACTGAAATTATCGAATTACATAAAATATATTTTATTATTGTATATTATTTGGTATAAAAATGTAAATATTAAATTTTACATAAATAAAAATATTTCACAGTACATTTTTTTTTTTT